CAATTTTTCCAGATTAGATTCTCATCCTGTCAATGAGCTACCCAATTAATCCCATTAAAAACCCCACGAGTCGCTCGTGAACGCTCTCTCGGAGCTCTCTTTTGTCGCGGCCGAGCATCGTCGCCACCGTTATCGAGTGGCGGAAGCAAAGAGAGGCCAAACGTTCGCTTTGGCATTTTTATGAACGCATCCGAGATCGTCTGTGGAGGGTAGTGTCGGGAAAGCCGAGGGTCGTGTGCACGAGGGGAGAATCCCGGTTGGAAAACTGTGGGGGGAACGCGTGGAAATTGGACGTGCGCGTGAAGCTCTCTCGTGTCTCTGCACCGTTCCGTTAATACTTACTGATTCGCGATCGCGACGCAGATCGGCTGATCCACGGGGAATGACTCGATGGATACGTCTGTCACCATCTGCTCGGTCGCGAAATAGGCAGGGGCGAGGAATGATTCATGCCTTGACCGCACGCTCGTATTAACCGGACCGTGGACGTTCGCGTCACGAAACACGCGTTACTTCAAATTAAAGCAAACTGCGAACTGCGGTGTGCCTACGTGGAATCGTGCGCTCTGAAGAAGCCGAGCGCGGAGTGACCGCGCGAGGGAGTGTTCCGAGTCCTCGAACCAGAATGGATTCTACACACATCCGAAGCGCGAGTAAAATTCTTCTTCGTCATAATGGATCGGATTCAGATACCGTATTATTGACTTCGCGCGCTTCCCGTGTAAAAACTAAATATCATCGCGATCAAGTTAGCCGGATAACGATAAGGAGTGATCAGATCAATACGATGGTCATCGAACGCGATTACAAATCGGATATTTAAGCGGGCGCGGTTCGAAACCGTACAGCGTACTACCGCTGTTGCGCTGCACCGACGTGCAATTTACGCAGGCTGCAATCAGGACGATTGGGATCACGGAGCAGCGACGAGTGATATCAGAGCGGCTGCCGATAATGCAATAAGTGGCGGTAAAAAGGCATTAATTCGTCGCGATCGCCATTGTTGCTCGCGCTTGACGTCGCGCACAAAGGAACTTCCGAGAGGACTAAGTCCCGTTTACGACACAGGGGGCAGCCGGTGAGAGAGTCAGGGCCGCATCGTCGTCCAAGGATATCACGATGCCCTCCGACATCGGATGAATGCCTTTACCGCCGCTTATTTTTGGCCATGCCACAAGTTTGCGAGAAGGCGCGCGTGCACGTTCGCGCGTGAGTCATCTCTACGCGCGGCTCCACGTAATCAATTTTGCGAGTTTGCGCTACAGAGAGGATAGACAGTGAAGAAGTTCTCTTCGACAGGAATTCAATTTGGAATTTCGTCGCCGCGAGACGTCGGGAAGAGCCGCGTCAAATGATGGCTCCTCGCCAAATTCCTGTTTGCCTTAATCCGCCCCTGGCGAGTATATATTCGAAGCAACGAGCGCTTTGTTCCGCGTTCCCCTATTCGCAAACGCGGCACAGTTGCGGTAGCCCCGTCATAATACCGTTCGCGTGATGAGCACGCGACATGTGCGACTCGTTACACGCTTGATTGCCTTATCTTCCTCAGGCTCTACGTGGCATACGCGTGTCGATCAAACGCGAAAAACAGCGACGATAAGCTTCCTCCCGCGACGCTATTTCGCACCTCGCTCTTAAATATTTCCGACTCTCGGCGGGAATAACTCGCGACAATTTATCTTCTATTTTTATCCCGTCCTCCTGATAATAACTCAGAGTTCGTCTTATTGGATGGATCAATATGTTATCATCGGTATGTTATCAATTAAATTTAATAACGAGATAATTAACGGGAGAGAAAATGAAGAAACAACCAATTAAACTCAACGGCACGACAAACTGTCCGTTGAGTCGGTTTTACAAACAAATCTAATTTGTGTGGTCGAGAATGAAATGGCTTCGTCAATTGGATATGACAATCTGTGATGTCATATCGTATAACTTCGACAAACTCGTATCTAAAAGAAGGAGGTGCTGAGCGCAACCAATCAAATTCATTTAAATTCGAGTCGGCAAGATGTACTCGTTGTACGATACTTGTTGCGCGATAACTATGTTAGACGACATGTGTTGCTATTTATGAAGCCTTTCGGAGACATTCCTAATTGCTTCCTGGAATTCAAGTACGCGTTTCCACGCGAAACCGAATACAAAAAGGCTTGTAACCACGAGAAACGATAGAGAGAAGAAAGAGTAATCCTCTTCTGGATTATCGCGATAGGGATATCGGGAAATCTCGTTTTATGTAAGACTTCTTGCCTGTACGTAACGCTCACCGAGTCTGGAAAAACGTATTTGACGGCTCGTTGCAATGCGCTTGTGTCAAAGCGTTCAAACTAGAGTTCCTCTATTTAGAATCAGAATAAAGTATGATGTGATCGCTGATTGGTCTGCGTCTTGTCCGCCATTCTTAGAGATGACGTGAGTGTGAGTGAGAGAGAAGCTTTATTAGAAGCGAGAGAGAAGCTTTAAGATCGAAGTGACGTTGCAGCTTCTTTCTCACTCACTCACTTCCTCCCTTCAAATGGCGGACGATGTTCTAACTCTGACTAGAGAAATTCTAATTCGCACAAGGCTGCTCCAGGCTGGAACGTATGATATTTAATGTTCCGCTTGTATGAGCGCACGCACATGTGTGTATTACACGCCAACGATTGTGAGAGACAAGAAGAATTATGTTTCGCGTCGCACATGTCGCGACAGCTCTCTTTACCGCGGTCGGTGTCGTAAATTTTTTTTATAGGCCCCGCTCTCTCACGTAGACCGATTATGCGTATTCGTTTCTCAGGTTAGTTCCTGAACTCGACTTACGCAACGTTGCGTGTGCGAGATTTCGTTCGCGGATCGTGTCGTATTGCATCGCGTCAGTCGTACTTTACACGCGATTCATCTAATTAGTCCTATGAAAACGCAAACGGGCGACCGTAAATTTAAATTTGTTCTTGAGTCGCCTTTATCGACGTGGACGCGCAAATGAGATTGTTAACATGTCGGGAATTAGTATTTGTTTCACGAGGGTTGCGTCGATAAAAACGTTAGACACAAAATACACATTGTAAGATATTTTGAAAGAAAAAACAAAACAATGACACAATATTCCAACTTTACGAAAAAGGTACGCGGAATCGGAAACTCAAACGTTCTTCTCGGAGCAGCTTTAAAAAGGTACGCTTCTAATGAGCCATTTCCGGTTTTCTCGTGTGCCGAGTCGAGTCAACCATGTTACGTAAAGAGCCCGCGGAAAAAAAATCGTAAGCAAAAGACAGGCGTAATTTGCCGAGTGTTTCCGCAACAATGTAAATTCGCAGTAAAAACGCGATAATACCGCCCGCTGCAATCTGCCGTTACCGCGTCGGCATAGCGATTTCGCCGTACCGCTATTGTCCGGGACACACCGTGAAAGCGGAGACTTTTTGCGCCATTGACGGTTCCTAATATGACGGTCGGTGTATACGATGGGTTGGGCGCGATAAACATTTTTGTCGGGCGAGAACAACGCGCGCAACGTGTGTGGGAATTCACGTGAAATGTTAACAAATATCCGGCGTAACTTTCATGCACAATGACGCGACAGTACTCGCTGACACGATAAATTATATTGCGATTTTGTGACGACTTATTTGGGGAAACCCGTTACGAAGCAACAATTGGCTAAACTCGAAGTTTAATATGCGTTTTCTCCGTATAATATCGACGCGCTATATGTAATTCAAACGTCACATAATAGAAATTATGACCGCTTCGCATGTACGACTTGACCTTGCAACGTCGCGACCAGGCGACATCATAAAAACAGTGACCACCTGTGCGTTCCCCTCACATGCCGAACATCGTAAACAAAGCGAGTACCAGTAGCGAGAGGAGTTTTTGCGCGACACGCGACGCGAATTAGCAGTCGAAGGAAAGAAATACTCGCACTACGATGTTCTTGACATTTAAAGAGACCCTGATTCTTTCATAATTAATATTCTCATTCGTGTTCTTTGCATAATTCCTCTTATGCCTACGTAATGTATGTAAACTTGTGATATCTTTCGCGAGATACCGAGAAATCAGACGAATGTCAACAAGTCAGAACAAGAATGTGTTGTTATATTAGAATATTATCGCATCATGATTTTACATCAACGAGGCGCGCGGCTTTATTACCTTCTCGTGATAAAACGCCGCGTTAAGATTTGATGTGGCGAAGGTAAAACCCGCGTTCGTCCGACTTATCACTCGAGGTGAAAAGACGTGATAGCCGAGTCAATAAAATCTACGAAATCACCGAAAAATTTTTCCCAGAAGCTCGGGCTAGGCTGCTTTAAAATGTTTAACAAGCTACGGATTAGCTGTGTATTTTCTATCGCGAGATTATCAGTCCTCAAAACACATTGGAGGCGTAAACAAGTAAATATAGATTCTAACGAGAAATAAAAATTGTATTCGCACTTCAGTAAAATCAAAATCAACCGAGCAAAACATATCTCGCGCCAGGGATGCTTATTAAGCGCAATGGTTAAGGCAGCCCTGAGCCCGGGTTGCACTCCGAAAAAGTGGAGCAGGGCATCGACTCGCTCGAGCCAGGTGCATCTAGGAATACCAACGCCATCCTGAATTTTTGATATCGATACTAAGAACGGTGATAATTGGAATCGATATTCGGTGACGATAGAATAAAAGCCAAAGAGAATTTTAATAATCCGAGAAACGCGAAAGAACGCGTTCATTATCGAATACTGATTAAAAACACAAAGTTTACATTATATTGTGGTCTGAATTTTGCTTGTAATATAGATAAATCAAACGAATGTAGATAAAATAGACTTGTATCTTATCGAGAAAAAAATAAAAAAAAATAAAAACATGTCCGACAATATATGAAGACAGCGACCATTTGCTGGCGTGTCCTGCCGATATCGGACGCGAAATAGACTTGTTTTCGAGATACCGCGTTGGCACAGAGATGCATCTGGACGAGCGATGCTGAAGAAAGTGAAAGCTGGACAAGTACTTGCCGAAACGACGATGATGTCGGCGCCGCGGAACAGCTGATCGACTCGCTCGGTGGGTGTCGGCCTAGCCTAACCTCTACGGTGCGCTGTACCGCTACGGCTGCACTTTCTCACACATCTGATGCACTGGCGAAGAGTTCTTGGAGGCGAGCCTCGGTCGGGACGATGTGCACGACAGGATTCCGACGCACACACGGTTACCCCAGATTGCCGAGCAGCACCAACGCGATCGCGGGATGCGGCTTCCTTGAAATCACACAATTCGGAATTTTTCAGAGTCCGCGCAGCTTCGAGCGTACGCCTTCTCGCGAATGTCGGGAATTCACGCACCGATTCCGGGACATCAGTGACGGCGTCTGTGTTTACACGGCGTTATGACGCAATTCGCGCTCTGTCGAGGTGATTACTTCAATAACGCTCGCGCACGGCATCGCGACGTAATCTCCGTCCCGGGTTTCCGTAATAACGGCACGAATATCCGTGCCTCGACGTAATCCCCGATTCAGGCTGTTACTTGAGTGACGACGAAACGCCTATTCAATCGCGTCCAGACGCGTAACATTGCGGGACGTCGCGGGACGTCGCGCTTTACCAACGACGCCGACGCGGCATCAATGCGGGACGTTGCTTCAATAACGAGCGCGACTACTTGTCAGACGTCACGACGTAATATCGCACCCTCTTTAAACGACCGCGACAACGAGGACGCACGAGCGAGTATCGCGAGAGTAACGGCGCCGCGCGCGCAAGAGAATCGTTCCTTTCTGACTTGGATAATCGAGTGCTACTCACAAGACGTACTTCACGGCTGTGTGCCGAGCGCGGTCTAACGAGCAATCCTGGGAATCGTGTGCGGTATCTTCGACGCAGGACATCGTGGGTCGCGCGGCGTCGTAACCCAGTTCCTCATCGTCGTTGACCCGTTGCTGGTTTCCCGACGGCAGCGACGACGGGGCTCTCGTCGGGACGCTCGAACGCGCGATGCACTCGCGACGCAGAGGCACCCGCACAGCCTCTTCGATCGGCGATTAAATCGCAGTTACGGCACCGTAGCTACGGTACGGAGCGAAGTAGCCTGGCCCGCTCTATTTACCGGACGGACGAGCGGAGCGAGCGCGATGAAGGCGGGGGCGGCCGTCCGACGAAACGACACGAAGCGCTCGGCGAGACGGACCGAGCGAGCGCGAAGGCGAGGGGAGGTGCTCGGCCGGACGGGAGCGTACCTGTCGACTGTACAGGCGATCCGATCGCGCGCGCGGTGGAGAGGAGACTAAGGGACTCCGCACACGGCGTGCAGGCTAGACGCGGCGCGCGCACACTCCGCCCGCCCCGCCCCCCTCCCGCTCCGCGGACACGCCGCGAGATATCTGGCCTGACTCGCTCGCGCGACTTTTTTTCACGCCAGTTTATCTATTTCGTACATCGTACACAAATCTCTATCGTCGTTGACTTTGCGATCCCGCGTCCTCCGTCGTAGAGCGAGAAGGACGAGAGAGAGAGAGAGAGAGAGAAGGAGCGACTATCTGTCGGCATGCAGGCTGAGAGCGTGTTTTCTTGAAATGTTCTTGTATACGATAATACATTTTCACGTTCCTTCTCTTTTCCGCTGTATCTCAAATACGTGTCTATCGCGTCTCGCGCGTTGATTATAAGAGCGGATCTTCGAGAACTCGTGGTAGAATACGGTATTTCGATATAAACCGGCTTTATCGTCGCTTCTTTCCGGAGCACTTTTCTCGCGGTCTAATCTCTGATTTACGACGATGAGACGATAACAAAAATTCAAGATGATGCTTGTTCGAGAATATTCGCGATGTACTGCGTTTCAAGTATGTATCGATAAGTTTGGTTCATTAATTCTCCGACTCGTCTCGACTTGCTAGTGATCTGTGCAAAAACCCGCGAACGTCAGGAATTCCGCAACCGGAATATCAAGCGAGGATCTGCATAATTATGAGCATCATCCTTTTACCTCTGCCGCCAAGTGACTCGAAGTGTCTTCGTCCATCGCGTCTTGGCTCGTTCTCGTTTACACAAAACGCCAGATTCTTGATTGATTTCCCGCGAGCTCGGCACACGTCGAGAAACTTTTGGAAGTTTCAGAGCTCACCGTTTCGTACGATTTCGCAAAAAATCCTGTCTCCAAAAGAGCTCTTCACGCCCGCGTCTACGATACTTTCGGAAATGGATTATTCTAAGGCGCAGCACGCACTCGAGGTTGCATCACTACGCCGAAATAGTCCCGGTAATCGTATCGTCAAAACTAAGGATATTTTTATGACGATCTTGTCGATTTCCGGATTAATTAATCGTGTACACATTAAAACGTGTCGATATCGCATATTTGTGTATTAATTGGAGCGATATTCTCGACTGCCATGATTCTCCACGAGGCACTACTTAGGCGTAGTAATACATTATCAGTCAAATGTAACAGAATACGCGCGCATTTCACGCTCCGTCGTTCCAACGATCTAATAGTTCGTTTACACGATCGTTTTTCATTTCCCGGACACCGAATATTTCACATTCACACACTCGCATACAGTACACGAGGTTCTGAAAACCGATATATTTGAGAGAATTTAATGGTATTAATCACGAAATATTCTATCTACACTCTCCGTCTCTTTCGGTCTAAACGCGAGAAACAAGGTGGAATCGGAACGACTCTAGAGACAAATAGCGTATTAAATTTTTGTGTGTACTCCTCATGAAAGAATCGCTAAAATCAGTAGCGTAATTTTAAGGCATAAAAAATCATAACAACAACTACGGCTCTCTTACAGAGGTTGTTTATAAACACCGCGACCGAGAAGGAACGCTTGCGAGTCGCACCTTTCTATTCCGTAGTCGGCTAGTCAGTTTGTGTTGGTGCAACGACGACGACGAAGCTCGAGTTGGTTTTAACGGATACCGCGAAGCATCGTTTCGGGTAAAGTATTCAATATATTCGGCCTCCTAAGCATGTTACCCGATATTCTAAACTATCTGAAGAATGCGGAGAGCCCGGGCAATGCGGCTTTGTATAAATTCTGTGGAGGATCAAGCGTACGACACACTCGACGATCGTCGCGGCTCGAAACGACGAAATTTTCGAGAATACACATCTTACTTTTTTGCTCTTTTCCCACTCGCAAGATTGAAGTGCGCGATCTCGAGAGACTGCTGTCCTGAATCACGGTAGTGCGGCACGTATAACCTTAAAAGTTAGCGAATTCGGGAGGATGACTGAAGTTAGCCGCGCGAGCTCGCTGATACTTCGATAATCGAAGGCGACCGGCACAGTGTCTTGGGGAACGTCAAGAGGTAACACGATTAGCCACCACGTCCGTAAAATCCCTCGGGATCGTTGGAAAATATCGTAAAATACGACGTCGAATTATGGAAATCGTATCCGCGTGGACGAAACACTTGAATATCAGCGAGGCGCCGCGTGAATTGTTAATAAGAAATAATAAGCCGAGAGCGCTTTGAGTTGCTTGGAAGATGCTTCGGGATACTTCGATAATGTCGGAAACGCGAGTTTTCAACGCAGGGATTGGATTTCAAAATTACTTTTACTTGTTCGCGATATTTTGAGAGCGTCGGAAAATATAGTGACGATGAGACTTTCCCGCGTTTCGTGCGATGTAGTGATATGAAGAACGCGTGGCCGAAGCGTTCGAGTGCGCGAATCTCGACGACACTGAAAACGTGTGACGTAGTAAATCTTGATCGCGCGTTCCTTCGGCAATTTTCACGAAAAAGTCGGTAGTGTCGAGAAATTTTGTGAGACACAAGTGCGTCATTGGACCAGGATCGCATAAAGAGTCACTCGGGACAAAGGGATCATCTTCGAGATGAGAGGTCGTCTTCATCTTCAGAGCGACGAATCATCTTTATCTTCAGAGCCACAAGTCATCTTCGGGGCAGATCTCTACAGGCGATCATCGTCGGCGATCGGTGAGTCTCTTTTAAGTGAATTCTTGCTTCTTTATTAATTAAGGTAAAAGTACCAATGTCTGGATACGTACCAAATATGTATCTAATTCTTGTTGTTTTGATTTTAAATACGAATATATTAACTTTAAATGCAAATTTTTATAATCTTCAGACATAAAATATTTGTATATATATTCAATATATATATATTCTATATTGAAAGTTTGAATATTTCAATATTTTAAAACTAAAATAACAAGCATGTCCAGAATTAGGTACATGCTAGGTACGTATCCAAGCATTAGTACTTTTACCTTATAACATATGGAATGAATTTTCTCTTAATGATAGTTGCTCGGCTTACGATATCTAGATCTGGCGTGCATTTGCTTATTGCATATCCAAAATTTATTATAATCCATATTGCCAAGCAAAAAAACGATTGAAGATGAAATCAAGGTCAAATATCGGATATTACACAGAATACATTTCGATATTAGCACAAGTTATTGCAAGAATGTGCAATAAAAAACAAAAGGATCGAATTAATTTGCGTACTCAAATTTCGACGCTTTTGAATAATTACAAGAACTGTGAAATCGTACAAAGTAGAATGCCACATATATACGATTCCACTGTAGTTAATAATGATGCGTTATTAGTAGGAGAGTTTATCTCGTGCGAAATTGACGATATATTCGAGCGAGAAAATCGTTAAAAAATTGCAGAGCCTTTTGATTATACATCCGACTTTCCACAGTCAAGTCTGTGGTATGCATTTGTCCCTCGTAAAAATAACTACTCGTAATTACATGCCGCCAAGAGCCGACTATTAGTCTCTTGATATTTCCCAGGGAAGGAAACAGTAAACATTATTTTTGTCCTCTTTTGTATCAGACAATGTTTTCTTTGCGGCGTGTATTTGCCTTGAAAAATCTCTGAAATTATATCAAAATTTTCATAAACAAAAATTTCATATTGTCAGGCATGAAAGATCGATTGTTTGAGACATTGGCTGCGTTCAGCAGAGAAAGCTGCTTTGAAACTGTTGTAAAATTCGTGAATTTAATTGGAGTATGTTCTTAATTTTGGTTAAATCCAAGAGCATGTACCAATCAGATTCACGAATTTTACAACAGTTGCAAAGCAGCTTTCTCTGCTGAACGCAACCATTCATTTGTCATAAGAAAGTCATTTAAAAACTAGTCTACGTGTTTCTCTTTAAAACTGAATTTATATATTATATAATTTGTTGGATGAGAGAAATAAGAAAACATATCTTTTTTTTTTTTAATTTCGTACGTAATAGAATATTATATTAAAATATAAATGCTGAATCTACAACAAGTTACATGTTCGGTTTATGTATATATATAAATATTTTAACTTTCACCGACTGTACAGCAATCGTCCAAAAAGTTATTACGGCTGACGGCGAATATCACGCAAATATTTTTTTAAATCGCGCACCTCGCACTTCAAAATGCATTATAATCGCTCTTATTCTAGAGTAATCTTTTCGCTTCAATTTTTATAGAAGCACAAAAGCAAATGAAATGCAAGAAAAAGAAAAATTCTCCTAGATTTTCTGACGCATTTTATGGCTCAGAATATTATGTTCTGCAATCTCAGAAAGAATTTTCTTGATTAGTAAAGTTAGGTCAGTACCTAAGTAAAAGTGTTTGATAAACAAAAATTCGACGAATCAAGAAGTGCGAGGAACGCATGAAATACTTTATACGTTATCTACGATTTCGTGTGTCGGATACACAGACGACCTGTAGATGAACCCGCGTTCGCTCACTACTGCTCATCCTTATCCTTCGCGCCATGTTTCAGGATTCGAGTGAATTCCAGGTAGTCAAACATAGAGCCTTTGATTGGTGCTTCGCGATACATTTCATCGACGTCATCGTCTGTAAATCTGATGATAAAAAAAAATCGATATTGCATCATAGTGTTAATCATTAAAGTACCAATATCTAGATATGTGTCTGATTCTGAACATTCTTTTTGTTTTAGTCTTTAAATGCGAATATTTAAACTTTCAAAAAGTATAAAAAAATATATATGTATATTCTATGTTGAAAGATTAAATATTCATATTTAAAGACCAAAACGATAGGAATGTTCAAGATTAGATACATACATTGGTACTTTTATTGCTTAAATTCATCGCTGCATTTCATTTTGATGCAAAAAGCAACATATAATCGCCGATATTCGCACAACTGATCGTTAAGTCGTCTCTTGGAATTATTTTAATTTCTTGGATGATTTCAACATGACAATTCTTCTGTAATTATATAATTTGCCAATTATTACAGGTCAATTGTATAATTACTAATAATAATAAACAAGAATAATTATTCCTTGCTTCTTTTTCGTGAGAAACAAACTCTTCATTCAAAGTTAAATCTACTTTCTACATATTTTTACATATTATGTGCGTATATATTTCAGACATTATTGTGCAATAGTTCTATAGTTGACACAATTTTAATAATACGTTAATTACCTGTCACCCATTGTCGTGAGCAGCTCACGAAGACGTTCCTCGTTTATATGACCAGTATTCTCCTCGTCGAAACAGCCAAAGGCATTCTTAATCACGTCTTCTGGGTCAGTCCCTTGCAATCTCTCTCCGAATAGTGTCAGGAACATTGTGAAGTTGATAGGTCCGGGTGCTTCGTTCATCATTGCCTCTAAATATTCATCAGTGGGATTCTTTCCTGTAAAAAATAATTTTCGCTCAAGTTTCACTCTTGTTTTGATTTAAAAGCAACGTTTAATCGTTATCTATTCGTATAAGTGGAAATGTTTTTACGAATTTTTTCTAATTTCTTGAAAGACTTTAACGTGTTTAAAGTACTCACCCAGAGATGCTAGCATGTCGTGCAAATCCTCCTTATCAATGAATCCGTCGTGATTCTGGTCGATCATGTTGAAAGCCTCCTTGAATTCCGCGATCTGTGCTTGGTCGAACATTGCGAAGACATTCGACGTGGCGCGTTGAGCGCGTTTCTTCGTGGTGGCACGGCGACCGGCAGTTTTGCGAGAGGACATCCTGGTCTTGCTACCTATAAAATAAACATTATATTTTAGCCATAATTCAGCTATAATACGCGTTGAATTCAACATATATTTAAAATTCAAATATGTGTTTTTTAAGTTATTTATATTCATTAGAATTTTACATTTTCATAGATTAAAATAATAGATATTTTTTAACGAAATATGTCGCGATTGTATTACATTAAAAGTTTCAAGCACTAAATAGCAAGAACGTAGGGATGTTTCTCAAATAAAAACACGGATTTTTATATATATATATATATATA